AGAACCCTGGGTAACATGCATGTTAAGAGACATTTTCTAAAAATTCTCACACATTTATATGATTTGTTTTCAATTTCTGGTGTAAAAATTACTATGCACTAAGTGGCTTAAAATAACACAATTTATTATTTTACAGTTCTGGATGTCAGAAGTTTGAAAATGATGCTCAGAGTTGAGTCACCGTATTAGCATGGCCAGGTTCCTTTGATATGCTATAAAAGAATGTGTGATCTTATCTGAATGTTTAGATGCCTCCTGAGCATCTTAGTTTGTGGCTCCTTCTACCTTCAAATCCAGCAAGGTAGCGTCCTCCAGTCTCTGTCTCCATCTTTCTCTCTGCCGCCCTCTCCTTTCTATGTTGTCCCTTCTCTTTGACCATTCTTGCCTCCCTTTTGCAAGAACTCATGTGATTAGACTGAAGCCTTCCACATAATCTTGGTTAATCTCTTCAAACTCAACATACTTAAAATTAATCACTTCTGTATAATCCCTTTTGTCATAAAGTATGATATGACAGGTTCCTGGGTATTACAGAATTAGCAGGACATTACCTGATATACTGCAGTGTGCTTAAAAGAGTTAAATGTCCTTTCATTTTATGCACCAACTGTACCTTTCCTATGGTCTGAATATATATATATATATATATATATATATATATATATATATAGACATAAACTGTTCCCATGTCTTCTTAATCTCATCTATGGGAGCTGATACTCACTGGTTCCCATGTCTTCTTAATCTCATCTATGGGAGCTGATACTCACTGTCTTGTGGGACCAATTCAAGTGTGTGAATAATTTTCCTACTCTTTTACTGTCAAATAATCTTAATTTTGCATTCACTTGTTTGTAAATCTATTTATTTATTTATGAAAAGTAGATATTGGGGCAAAAAGTGGCCACAATCTTTTCCTTGATTTATAGTTCTCCTATGTTCATAAAACTCAAATATTTGAATATTAAAATTAAGAACATACCGTAGTGTGTACAATGATAAAGCTACACTCACTGTTCTGAAGTGGTCATGTTTAAATGTATCTAAAGAGTAGATCTGACCAAATTAAATGATTAATTAATATATGTGTAAGAAAGGGAGAAGAAAATGAGGATGATTCCTGAGCTGTAGGTATTAGGTAGATCAGTGATTTTTTTTTTTTTACAGGATCTTACATATTATATAAGAATTTCCTCTGCAATTCCATACAGATATCCAGTTGCTAAAAAAAGATTGGCCTTTCCCCATTATATATATGGCTTTGTCAATTTTGCTGAAACTAAATTACACTAAATGTTGCTATTTTTTAAATCAGAAGATCAAAGGAGATGTTATTCTGATAGCTTTTCATTTTTCCCTCCAAGGACCTTTGCTGTGTTATCCAGGACCAGCAGTTTTAATAGGGGAACTCCCACCACCTTGCTGAACTGTCACTTGGGCTTGATTTATGAGAGAGCCGTGCTTCCCATGGAGGTCACTGTTGTCCCCCTCTGGCCCAACGATATTAGGAGCAAGTCTTGCTCATCCTCTCGCATCTGTTGCCCCTCCTGCTCAGCCGTATCTTCATCTTGCACATTTAATGCATGTATTACTCCCTATTCTAAATCTACATTGCCTCCAGCTTCATGGTAAGTCTTGAAATCAAGAGAGAAAATACTGTCCAATTTTAGAAATTATTGTGAAATTCCTAATTTTCTATACATTTTAGAATCATCTTGTGAATCTTTCAAAGAGAGAAAAACACAACTTTTAGAATTTAATTTGAATTACATTTAACTTATAAATAAATTTAAGTATAGTTTTTATTGTAACAACATTGAAAAGAATAATTTATGAATTTGACCTACTACAATTACCTAGGATTTTAAACTTTTATGTATGTAATATTTCCTATTTCTCTGTATAGAGTTCACTACTACTTTTGATAGTTTTTACTAAATACTTTTGATACTAACATTGAGCAGATGCTGCTACTAAAGTTAAAATTTTGTGAAAATTTGTTTGAATTATATTGTTAAAGTAGTTCTGGTAGATCCATAAGTATATAATTAAAAATACCACATTTTTTTTCTCAAAATATGAAAACTTTTCAATGACATGACATAAATAAGTGTTATTTTAGTGTTTTAGCAATAACTACCTGTTAATTTGAGAAAAATTTCTTATAGCATTAAGCACAAGTAGCAATATCACATTTAATTTTGATGCAAATTATAGCCAGCCTGTGATGCACACCTGTGATCCCAGCACTCTGGGAAGCTAAGGCAGAAAGACTGTAAGTTCAAGACTAGGATAGGCAATTTAGAAATTTAGCAAGGACCTGTCTCAAAATAAAAATTAAACGCTGAAGAATTTAGATTAGTGTGGACTCTGCATTCAGTCTCGAGTACCTCAAATGCACATACAAACACACAAACAAAGACACACACACACAAAAATGGGAGTAAATTATTTCAAATATTACACAAATGCTAATTACTAAAGGCATATTTTCAAGCAATTATTTATTGAGTTAGTATTTTTGGCATCAATATACCAGTGCTTCTGAAATTATTTTAATCATAGCATTGACCTTATATTCCATCTGTTATAATAAAATGCATCAGATTTTAATATGTAGTTATAGTATTTGATGATTTCTGTATCTCTGTAATTTAAATTCCTCTTACTTTCCTATTTTCATTTTTCATCTTCCATTATTATGATAACACATTTAATGATACACATATTCATTTTATTTAATGAAACAGTTTATGTGACATCACTGAAACCAGAATTTTGTTTTTAATTACTTACTGAATTTGTGTAATACTTAGCAATGGGAGATTTTTATTATTCATTGGGAATAAAGAGAAAGAAGGTTGCTCTTTATTGTTTCATATATATATATATATATATATATATATATATATATATATATGAAATAAATCCACAGAGAGTTCTCTAACAATCAGACTTTCTGGGAAGCTGTAATATGTACCCTTCTGTAAACAGTTAATGGAAAGCCTGTTTCAAAATACATCCTTTATTTTACGTATAATTTCACCTTACTGCTCTCTACAAATCTCTCTATAAATTGTGTGGGTTCTGCAATTCTTCAGCATTTTCTGTTTTATTTTCCCTTTGTTTAATAAAATAGTCATGCACAGTGTTTCTTCAGATGTGTACAGGAAACAGTCACACGTGTGACGACAGAACAGTCTGGTTCTCAGCTCATCTGTCAGCAAGGTGCCCTGTGGACTGTTGGCTGAGCTTTTGTGCAGGGGAGCCTCTTACTTTGACTGTATGTGGAAAGACAAGCAGATGGTTCATTTAGTTAAAGAACCACGTGGCCGAGTTGTCCACCAGACCTCCATAACCTCACAACAAGATGATGTAGAGTGTTGCAGTAAATAGCCTTGTGGGAATGTGTATAGGCAATTGTAGTGTGCACTCTATCACAAAATAGTATTTTAAGCTGACACTTTGGGAAATGTAGTTGTATTACTAAAAACTTCTGTCTCCAAAGATATCTACAGTCTATAATAAGTCTGAGCACCAGAACAGATAGGCTTAGTTTTAAAGTACTGTAGTTGTTTTCTGCTAGAATAATAGGAATATCATGAGAGCAGAAAAGAGAAGTAGGGATAAAATAGGAGACTTCATTACATAAATTGGTGATTACGTGAGTTAGCAACTCATGTATGCTTTATGCTTAACTTTGTTTCCAACTGATATTGCTAAATTCTCCCATAAGCTTTGTTCATAGGGTAACAAGAATCATGTATGATGCCTGCTTAATGTGATGCACCAACGTGCTGCTCAACTTTTCTTCACCTGCTTTAGCATTTATGGTAGGCATTTACAGCAGCTACAGATAGCAGTGTTTTCATTGCTATAAATAACATGTAGAAATCAAGGAGTCCATTTAGTTTGTAAGTCATTAAGATTTAAGGTACTGAGATGCTTCATTTTGTAGGAACATAACTAGGTCAAAGGATGTCCCAATACTCATTTAAGAGTTACACTAGGTACATCTTGGAGGGAATTTCTCCTTAAGAGAAACATTTAGATTACTTGACTGAGCAAAGCAGGTGACCTTCCTCAGCTTGGGTAGGTCTCATCCAACTAGGTGAAGATCTGAATAGAACAGAAAAGTTAAGTAAGAAATAGCTTGCCTTCTCAGTCTGACTGCCATTGACCTGGGGCATCGGTCTTCTGCATCTGGAAGACCGATGGACTTGGACTTGGACTTGACCCATGATTTACACTCTCAGTCTTTCTGCTTCTCAGACACTTGAGATGTGATGAAACAGTAGCAAAGTTTCTCTAGTTCTGTAGCCCACTGTTTCCCTTTTGTTCTATTTCTCTCTAAAGACTTGACTAGTCTATTCCAGAGAAAACTTATCCAAGAAATGATTCCTTGTTATTTCCCACTATGGTGAATTGTATCAAATATTTGTGCCCTAATCCTTAGGAACTATGAATATTATTTCATATCATGTATAATGTGATTAAATTAAGGGTGGACAGATGGTGTGAAATTATCTGAACAGGTAACAATGTAATTAAATCTTATATCCTAATCGTAAGGAGGCAGATAAAGATTTGCCAAGAAGAGAAAGCCATGTGCCTACATAGACAGCAAGAAGATTCAAGACCTGGATTCTTCTCTGGAGTCTCCCAAGAGAAGATACACCTGCCAACACCTTAATTTCTGCTCAGTGGAATGGAGTTTAGACTTCTGACTTTAAGATTGTGAGATAATATAGCTTTGCTGTTTAAGCCATGAAGTTTGTAGTTATTTGCTTCAGCAACAGTGGAAAACTAATGCATTACTGTTGCTTTCAATCTAGACTTTCCCTTAGGTTGGCTTTTGTTTTCTGCAGAGTTGCTGATAGATGAGAGAAGGGAAAGATATTACTATCTGTTGGGAGTTCCCTTCTGCCTGGCTCAGTGCTTATTAGAAAAACATATTTAACGTTAGATAAATGTATAAGGACTTGCAAGATGGACGTGCAATGGCCACTCACAGAATCAGGTATAAAAAATTCATCTCAGGAATCAGTTTAAGTCTTATATACACTATAAAGTTTAAGTCTTATATATACTATAAATCAATGTCAGTTGACTTCTGTTTGAGCTATGTATCTGTTCTATATATTTACATCATATATTTTTCTACACTAATTATTAGTATCATGCATAATGTATAGTAACCTGTTGCTTTTTATGCAATAATGGAAAGCAACTTGAGCCAAAAACTTAATCTTAGTTTTTATTCCAAACACCTAATATGGTACCTAGAACATTGAATGTATTCAACTGTGATGATATATATCTATATCTATATCTATATCTATATCTATATCTATATCTATATCTATATCTATATCTATATCTATATCATCTATGGCTATGGCTATAGCTATAGCTATAGCTATAGTTATTTGTATTTTTAGGGAAGGGTCTATAGGGTGTTCAGGGTCTCACTACTAGATTGGACTCATTGTGATATGCCTGTTTACAGCCTCCCAAGAGCTGAGATAACAGACCTGCGCCACCATGCCCATTCTCATGTGCCCCTGGGGCAGGGTTGGCACAGCAGTCCTGGACACTGAGCCCCCGGCAACTGCGTCTGCTTGCAGGCACTTTAATAGCTTTTGTATTTTAACATATATAATATCATATGTGAGTACCTATCATTATGTCTTTTTTTATATGGAAAATATTGAGATACACCAAGCAGTGCACTGAATTCAGTACTTTTTATTTAGTATTTTTCACTGATTAATTTTTTATTTTTGAAAAGTTAATTATATATACTGTGCTTAAATCTAAGAAGTAATGAGATAGACCTCATTGTATCTACAAAGAGATTAGGGCTTCCCAACTTCTAAACATCCTCTGCTGGACTTACGAAGACAGTGAGGTAAGCCATGTCTGTTAAGGAGCATTGAAAGTAGAAATTGAAGGAAGACAAGAACCCTGATAATATTTTTATAGATCAAATGTAGACCTTGCCAGTGAATATATTCATTTATTTCTATTTATGTACTTCTTATTTTGTATTATTTATTTATGTATTTATTTATTTATTTTTGTGGTATCAGGGATTAAACTCAGGACCTTGCACTTACAGGTTGGGTGCTTATTCTACTGAGCCATCTTCCTGGACCTAATATAATCATTTAGACAAACATAAGTTTATGCAAAAAAAATGAGACAATGAAGAACGTTAGGGTGGAAGGACAGGCAGCCTTGCAATTTACATGACACCTATCTCTTTAGATGATTCCAAGAAATACAAAACAAAGAAAGATTGAAGTCCCATTATATATTTAGATTAGCTAGTGCTCATTCTAAGGGATATTTAAATTAAACTAAAATTAGGAATATGGAGGTTAAATGTTTTAATAGCTTTATATTCAAAGAGTGCTCCAGATTTCAGCTCAGATATTTTCATTTGATACCTAAATCTAATTGTATCTTCTTCTTCTTCTTCTTCTTCTTCTTCTTCTTCTTCTTCTTCTTCTTCTTCTTCTTCTTCTTCTTCTTCTTCTTCTTCTTCCTCCTCCTC